GACAACTCTAAATAACGATCCTACCTCAAGAAGCATGTCCTTGATCTGCTTCACCGAGATTCATTTTTAATAAAAAGCGATATCACAATAGTAACCAAAGTATTTTTACTCTCACAGTAGCCTCTACTACTTTGTACCCTCTCACAGAACTATTCACAGTTCAAAGGCTGCTAATTTTGGTCAAACAGCAATTTGCCTATACAGTGCAACTACAAGGCTATCTACTGTATTTGAATGACAAAAGATGACACTCACCTTAAAATGTCCTTTGTATATTTCTATTTGTCTTAACTGTTGGAACTTGTCCAGGCATGTTAAGTGGGAGTGGACTTGAAATCCTTAACTCAAGGTGTTGAACAATTAAGTTATCAAGCCAATTGCATTACTTACTACAACTTGAATTTTGTTTTAAGTCAATTAACGCAGAAATCAGAGTTCAAATTACACACAATATTAAGTTGATGTAATAACCAACATTATTACGTCAACACAACTTATAAATTAATGTTTGCAACTTAAAAAGTTTATCTAAATCAATTAACTCACATTTGTATCTTGCAACCATGCATTCAATTAAGTGGAGTTGAAAGGTCGCCTGAATTCGTTTTTAGAGTGTATCCATCTACTCCACTGTGTACAGTGAAAATATATTTTCCAAACTGTTCGATGAAGCTATTTCTAACCCCATATTCATTGTTTTACAGCTATAACAGATGTAGTGTATCCCTACTATTTTAAGCCATACAAAATGGTTATTTTTCATTCTAAGAAACAATGTTAGCCGCGGAGTTAACTTTGAAGTGACCTATGGCCTTTTGCAATGTCCTATTCATAAGAAACAGCATTGTTCTTCTCCTTCAAGCCTGCAGGGCAATACTGAACAATATGAGGAATTTGTCCTCTGTGCACTGAGTTCAAAAACAGGCTGCATTGGCAAAACATTCATTTACACCTTGGGATTGACTTTGAAAGGTGAACCTAATTTGATTTAGTCTTCTGCCATGACCAGACCGACTCTATACAATGTGAAACTAGCTCAGATTTATTTTCGTCACAAACCCTTTTTTAATTTTCTTGTTCAATATTTAACCTGTGTGTCCTTTGTTTGTTTACCATGTTCTCTCTACGACATTTTGGCAGTCATAGAACTTTAGCCTGTATCTAAAGTGACAGAATATGACATTTTCTATTCCCAAGTGGGTCTTTTGCAAATGTTTGCAGAGGAGGTATTAGGGGTAAAGGGTGATGTTTTGGAGCAGTAAAGCCTTCTCTCCAGAAGTGCCATGGCTGCTTAGCATTTGCAATGAGCCTTAGCTGCGTCTTGGGCTACGAATCTCCCATATCCAGAAGGGGCTCATCTCCTCTGCAAACATCACCTGTCTCCCTGCGTCACCTCTGGGATATACCAAGAGGAGGAGGGAAATGTAAAAACAAGCTAGGAAAAAAGAGCCGCCTCCAGCACTATCATCTCTTGCTGCAGCAGCTCCAAATGAACATGTCACCCATGTGTTCAGTGAGCAGATAATTTACTCTTCCTAACTAAAATAAAAAAACAGTGTAATGAGGAGGGCACAGATAAGACACAAACACTTGTCATCTTATAAATATTTAACCTCCCTATAGAGAGGGTCTTTATCTACTCTGCAAAAAAACAGCTTGTTGGAGGGGTTAAGCTCCATTACTGTGTTTTCTTCTTTTTTAAAACAGTTTCCCTCTGAAAAGAAAACAATACAACTCTTGACAAAATGAATCATTTATGTAATTTTCAGCGCATATTTATGAGTTTTTTCTGATTTCCGTGTCAATGAGGCACATTGCGTTTGGTTAAGTGCCACTTCCCCGCTAAACAGTGACAATGAATTGTAGAATCAATAAACAGATGGAGCGAGTATATACACATACCCTGTTTGACGTAAAGTGTGTGTGTTTGTATGTGTGTGTGTGTCTGCATGCTGCTCCGTTTAATCTTCTGCCATTCTGTCATTCTTGCAGACACAGCGTATGTCAGGGTTTTCATCAGCGACGTCAACGACAACAAACCAGTCTTTGCTCAGCGACTGTATGAAGTCGGTGTCGATGAAAATGCAGATGTGGGCCTGGCTGTTGTCACTGTTAGTGCTAATGACGAGGATGAAGGTATGCATGAAGAGGCAGTAGACTGATTGGGAGATTTTTACTGATACCACAAAAGGTTGACGAAGCAAGCCAACCAGAACCAGAAAATAAGAGTTATAGAGGTTTTAGTGGACCACTTTATGATAACAGTTTCAAAATTGTGCTTCTTTTATTTCTCTCACTATGTCTCGAAATAATATTTTGGCAGTCAATCCTTCAGTTTTCCGGCAGTGATTGGTGTGCCAAAGCCACACTTTCTTTCAAAATGGCCAGCATTCATAGCAGAATGCAATAAATGACCCTGTGGGCAGTCTTTCCCAATCCAGCCTGAGCTCTGCTGAAATCATGCAGTGTTCTAGATTTAGCACTCGTCATTTGAGTGCTTGGTAATGCACGGTCGCACATATGTTCCAAAAAGAGTGACACGCTCCCACACAGTAGGTGGGCAGGATTTCGCAAATAAAGCAGTTGCTCATCCTCCGTACAGCTGTAGTCTAAGATCCCTTTATCAGGCATGTTTAGGTCCGTTAATCAAGTATTTATGGCGAGCGGGGGTGCAGTTTAGGCTTGGCTGCAGCACTAATGATGAATAGCTGTGGAATAACACCAACCCCCAACATTAAAGTTGCAATAGGGTTGCGCTTGTGTCTAAGAGGCTACGCTCAATCTGTCTTGTTTAAAAAACCAACACCCTGGGTCTGCCTGCTGTAAGCCTGCCAAAACCCTGTGGGAGGCTGGGAGCACTTTGTCAGCCAGGGTTGTGTTAATATTAGAGATTAGTGTATTTACATGGGATTGTAGCTACTTTAACCCAACAGGATGATTGAAAAGGAAGACTGTTCATTCCAGGAGATTATCTGATCTATTCCAATGTTAACCCGGTAGACCATGTGGTGTCCTCTGAGACACAGTAGATAAGTTCAAGATATTGACTTCCTTTTTACCAAACTACATCCCCCCACCCTCTCTTGGGCTTTGAAATCATTCCCTAGAGGCCACTATCAAAGTGCATTACTGTATGCTGCTTTTTACTTTTTTCGAGCACACTTTTTTTAATTAGTATCTGATTAAAGCCGAGGAGACGAGGTACAACGTTTCCATTTAATTAAGTAATCAAAACAAGAAAGGGATACATGAAAACCTACTAATGCTCACGTCTTAGAGGAAATGAGGTGTGATACCCCTCGTGGTTCACCGTTCTGTTTTTGCTAGAATAATAAGGCTTCTGCTTAAAGAATACTGCATATAGAATAACACTGACATTTTCAGGAACAACCTGCTATAAAGTATACTACCTTCCTAAAATGTTGCTATACTCATGTTTCCCTTTTAGATTTCAGTAATCCTATTATAAAACATTTCATTTTTGCAGAATAAGGACAGTGATTACTCATTCCCAATCATGCATTTTTGTAAATCCTGCCACAGGAGCCAATGCCAAACTGCGCTACCAGATTACATCTGGCAACAAAGGAGGTGTTTTTGACATTGAGCCAGAGGTGGGGACGATCTTTATTGCACAGCCACTGGACTATGAACAGCAGAAGAGATACAAGCTACTGGTCCTCGCCTCCGATGGGAAGTGGGAAGACTACGCCGCTGTGGTGGTTACCGTGGTTAACAAGAACGACGAGGCGCCTGTCTTCTCCATGAATGAGTACTATGGATCCGTCACAGAGGAGCTTGACGGGTCCCCTGTGTTCGTGCTACAGGTGAGAGGCTGAGTGGATTGCTGCTTAGAGGTGTTCCACTGCTTTTTATAAAAATGACTGCAATTCATAATTATCTTAAGCGCTTCTCAAGTGTAGCCGCCACTTAGTATTACTTACAACTTCATATGGTCACATGGTCTTGAAGTGCATCTTCTGTTAGTCTTGTGGTGTTTATACGCAACTGTTGTTTTTTAAGAGGCCCTATTATGCTCTTTGGGGGCTTTCACATTTCTTGTAATGTGTTATATAGGTCTTTATGCATGTAAATGGTCTGCAAAGACTAAAATCCCAAAGTTCCCTCCAGAGGGAACCGACTCGATTGGACTCTTTGTTTACTTCAGTAACATAGTGACATCACTAACACTTGCGTTTCTATTGGCTAGCATGCCAGCACATTGTACTTGATTTTCTAAGGTGCGGGACATCTCTAAGCAGTTGACCGGTCACATCAGAGCAGACTGGGCTCTGGTTTCAGACAGACTGTGAAAAGAGGTGCTGCGGCACAGGCAGTATGAGAAAAATAAATACCTTTTTGAACATTGAAGCATGTAAACATGTCACATTAGAAGAGCAAAATACAAATGTGAACCTGAAAAGTAGCATAATACTGTATGTCCTCCTTACCATTACAGAATTATCTTTCCACTAAGTAGGAGAATCAGCAGTGATGGATCTTGTGTGGGGAAATGTAGCAGTAAGGCTGTCAGACCCACTCTGAGGCGAGATGTAAGAGCCATGCCTGATCAGAGCTCATTGCTTTAATTTAGGTGGTCAGGAAAATGTGCAAATACTTAAATGGGCTGTCTTAAAAATCCAAAAGCAAAGAAGAATAGGTGATGGCTGAAAAGAGATAAGAAGAAGCATTAATTTGGGTCTGACTGGATGAATGAACGTCGATTCTCTTAAGAAGTTGTCTTTGTCTGTGCAGGTGACAGCGAATGACCCCGACAAAGACGCAGACCAGGGTGCCATCCGGTATTCCATTCACGGCCAAGGGGCAGAGTCACACTTCATGATCAATGACCTCACGGGGGAGATGTATGCCCAGCGCACCATGGACCGGGAGCAGCGTGCCGTCTGGCGCTTCGTTGTCATGGCAACGGACGAAGAGGGGCGAGGGACTTACTGGCTTTACGGATGTTATTATCAACGTGTGGGACATCAATGACAATTCCCCCGCCTTCACGTGTGTGCCTGATAATTGCCACAGTAGCGTTGTGGAGAACTCCCCTCCTGGAACCTTTGTTGTGGAAATGACGGCGTTAGACCTTGACGACGCAGCAGTAGGTCAGAACGCAATCCTCACGTATCGCATTACAGAGAATGTGCACAACGCAAACAAGGAAGACCTTTTCACTATTGATTCCAGCACCGGCACCATATCTGTGGCGGCAGAGGGTCTGGACCGGGAGGTTGCTGAAAGCCACCGTCTGGTATTGGAGGCCCGTGACGGCGGAGGTATGGCAGGTTCAGCGACCGCCACTATAGTGGTGACGGACATCAACGACCATGTGCCGAAGTTCAGAGAAGATCGCTGTGGCGCTCGTGTGCCGGAGAGCACAGAGGTAGACGCTCCTATCCTGGAATTGAGCGCCGTGGATCCTGATGCTGGCACTTACGGACAGCTGGCCTTCAGCGTGGTGGCAGGAGACCCCGAGCAGCGGTTCTACATGGTGAGTCACAGACTGGAGCAGACGGGCACCCTGAGGCTGAAGAAGAAGCTGGACTTTGAGAAGCAAGGGGAGCAGCGGTTCAACCTCACCATCAAGGTGGAGGACTCTGACTTCTCCAGCCTCATCCACTGCCAGGTTCTTGTGCAGGATGAGAACGACAACGCTCCCGCTTTCAACCCCACCTCCCACCGGCTCGCCCCTTTGCCCGAGGATGTAACCGTGGGAACTACTGTTATTCAGCTCACTGCCACTGACTCAGACTCGGGGCCAAACGGGGACGTTTTGTACAGCATTCTCCCTCAGTCTGACCCGCATGGACACTTTACAGTCAGCCGAGACGGCGTGGTCATAGTTGCCAGGCCTCTGGATCGGGAGACAGTGGCAGGATATGAGCTGGTTGTCATGGCGACAGACCGGGGTACCCCTGCACATACTGGCAGTGTCACGGTCCACTTGCCGCTGCTTGACTTGAATGACAACGGGCCGGAGCTGGAGACAGCCTACGCTCCGGTGCTGTGGGAGAACAGCCCGGCCCCTCAAGTGGTGCGGCTCAGCGGGGGCTCCACTCTGCTGCACGTTGTGGACAGAGACTCCCCAGAGCACGGGCCTCCTTTCAGACTCTCTCTGCCCTCACTTTACTCCACTGACTTCCATCTGCAGGATCACGGGAACGGCTCGGCCACGCTCACTGCTCTGAGGAGATTCGATAGGGAAAGGCAGAGCGAGTTCCACTTGCCTGTGATTATGATTGACAGCGGCGATCTGCCAATGACAGCCACAACACGCTCACAATCACCATTGGCGACCTGAATGATAACGCCCATCAGGCAGGAGAGAAAGATGTCTATGTGCATAGCCGCGAAGGGTGAGTTTTCTGGTCCTTCCCCTCTATTTCATTCTCCCTGCCCCTTGCTTTCGCTACAGAGCTTTTCACTGCAGGCAGAGCTTGAATGAAGAGGGGTAACTGAGGCCACATTTTTCACTCCCATACCTGCTCTGTGTAGTCTGGAATTCATAATTGTGCTCTTCCTTTTACATTCTAACAGTGTTTTGTTATGGTAATATCGTTGTCAAATCCTTTCTCAAGCCCACGCTAAAGCTCCTCTGAGCATCACATTGGGATAAGGATCATAATTCTTCTTCTTCCTTTGTAGTTTATTACCCTTCAGGTGAGTTGGTTAGGTATGTCGGCTTGTTAGTGTTTTGATCGCATACTCAGCTGCATGGCAGTTTTGGTAATTGTTGAAAACAGGAATGCCGTGAATCATCCAGGCTGCCATTGTTTACCCAGCTGCAGTACTCTGGCACTGCAGGTCGATAATAACATAATCCATACTGAGATAGCCCTGCTTCCTTAAGCTCCACGCTCTCTGAAGTGGAGCACTGAGAGCCTATTCATTCCAGCAGTGGGGCTCCACAGTTATGAGCATAATAAGTAGAACAGAACACAGGAATGCAAGATAAGGAGAAGAGAGGGACGGAAAGATATGTGTTAGCATCAGCAGATTCTGTCCGGACTGAATCAGTGTGTGTGTGTTTGTGTGTGTGTGTGTGTGTGTGTGTGTGTGTGTGTGTGTGTGTGTGTGTGTGTGTGTGTGTGTGTGTGTGTGTGTGTGTGTGTGTGTGTGTGTGTGTGTGTGTGTTTACCTGGAACAGGAAGGATGGCGAATGCGGCACTGGGGAAGGTGTATGCCCCAGATCCTGATGACTGGGACAACAAGACCTACACTCTGGAGACAAGCGCAGCCAAGTAAGAGCTCTGTCACATGCATAGCATTTGTACTGAAAACCTGCTGATCTCCAAATGTGCAGTACAAGTGCTAAAGCAGTACGGTACAAGAAGAACTGCCAGCTGTGTAGAATTGGATAAATAAAGAGGATGTGGACTCAGCTATGAGGCTGTTTTTCTCTATCAAAGCCTCTTTTATGGCATCTAATATAAAAGCTGTCAACAGTGAGCCATTATAGAAAATGCGACGAGATTCAAACAAATTAAGCCATCTCTGTCTACCTGTGTGACGTTCCCGTCCGAGATGAAACAAACTGTACGAGGACCGTCTGACTGCATCAGGGACCTTGTGCAGCTATTCAGTATTCATACCGTCAAGATCAGATTAGAAATACCAATTGCAAATTGGTTTTATTCATATAAAAAAAATCTAACAGCTACCATGACAACTATGTAGCTCTTTTGGCGGCAAATAAATTGTCGTCTTTTTCTTTTTATGTATGTGGTTTTTTCTTACAATTCATTTGAATTTGAATTTGAATTTTTCGTCTTGACTAAACCCTGCTATCGCTGATCAATTCTCTTCTTGTCTGTCTGCTATCTGTCAGGTGTTCTTTCCTCTGAACAAAAGCGTAGAGACAAAAGAGGCCACTTGTCTTTTTTCTTTCTCTTTCATCTTCTTCTGAAGCCGTCTTCTCCCCCTAAACAGCTGCTCTGCTTTCCTCAGATACTTCAGTCTGAACCAGAGCTCAGGAGTGCTGACCCTCCGCCAAGACACTCCAGCAGGCAGCTACTGGTTGAGGGTCGGGGTGTCTGATGGTGTGTGGCCCGACGTGTTCTCAGGGGTCAGAGTTCATGTCAGGGATCTGGAGGAAAAGGCCATCCTGTCGTCCGCCTCGCTGCGTCTGACCGGTAACATTAGCAGAAACACTGACTCCCCTTATGGCACAAACACTCACAAACATACGATGGCTGACTACGGCCCAAAAAACACTTCTCAACACTTCCATTATGAGAAAGGCACTGCACTTGCAAATATAAAACGAGAAATGTGCCAAAACAAACAAGAACAACACGTGAGAATGAAGAAACATCTTCACCAACTTAACAACACATGTGATAACTAAAAGCACTGCATAAACTAAACGCTGCAAACACGAAATGCTGCAAGAAGCTCAGAACACAACGGAGCGTTCTGGGATTATAAAGTTGACCAACTGTCACTGGAACCATGCCTTGAATCGAAGTTTTATTGGCTTATTTTGATCGCTTGATTCCTTACGATATTTTTGCAGATCTGCTGTAAGCTAGCTAGATAACGTATCTAACCTAGTATTTTCAAATATACTGACAAAACCCTTACAATCATGAAACAGACTAATTCTGAGACAGTGACAGTTGGCGCTCTGGTCCCAACTGTGTGCATCACTTTTTAGTTTCCCCGTTTCCGTGGTGTTTTGAGCTTCTTGAGTTGACACATTGCTGAGGATGTTGCTCCTTTTGCATGTGATTTGGCATATTTGTGGTTTTACATTTGCATCGTTTTTGAAACTGCAGTGCGTTTCCCTGTGTATTCAACTGGATTCCCTGCCTCAGTCATCCTCCGCAAAAGAAAAACGTGTTCCTAGTTGCTGTTGTTGTTCAATTGTGTTTTGAAGCTGACGTTGAAAGAGACAGCCTCTGCCACAGGCATGGTACTTTTCATTGACTTATTATCAGCTTGTCAATCCAGTTAACGCTAAAATAATAGGCTGTCAAGAGACATTTTTACACTTGCATTATTTAACATTTCTAAGCATTCTAAAGCAACCTTTCACACTTCCTGTTGGTAACAGTCTCTTTCTTCGTCGTAGTCTTTAACACTCTAAAGTTTATGTTCGAGTGTTCGTTTCTCTGTCAGTCTCTTGGAGCAAATCGGAGTTATAAAGGTCAATTTGGAAGTGTCAGGTAAAGTCCTTGACATTTAAAAAGCCGTTTGGAGAACGGCGACGAAGGCTATTATGGATGCCTCTGACTCCAAGTCATTATCATTTCTGGAGATTAAAGATGACTGCCCACATTCTCCAGATGTTATTGAGAGGTGGCACCACGTATGTGATTTATTTTTACGGACATTAGAATATTTTGTTCAAGTCCCTAACTTTTTTTCACTGAATACATAAAAGATTTGTACTTGACTGCATCACGACTCATTCAGCTTATGGATGATTCAGTGAGGGAGTGGATCGATAGCGGGAGATGTTAGACTACCGCTGGTGCTAATGGAATGAGGAACTCGTAGACTTTGATCAACCCTGTAGTTGTCATTGACGAGTCAGTACTCCTCTCTTTGTCTCCTAAGGCATAACAGCGAGAGATTTTATCGACTCTCACGTCGAGGGAAGGAGTCGGCTGGAGAGGTTCTGGGACTTCCTGTCTGAAACCCTGTCTGTCAAATCAGGGAGCATCAACATATTCAGCATCGCTGACAGCCAGGACAAAACTGTGGACGTTCATTTCTATGTGCTAACTGATAACGGCTACCTGCGCCCAGAAAAACTGCACGCTGTCCTCGCCGCACATAAAAAGAAGGTATATATACCGCCGTGTCTGATAGATAGATCAATGCTCGTGTATCAAGTGATACACTTGGGAGCTTGAGGGGAAAAGATAACAGAGCTTTTTATCTGCCCTTTTATTTTCACACCAACTTCCTGTCGGTTAACTGCCTGGCCCTGTCATGTCTCTTTGTCTCTCCCATTCATTTCTTCTCTTTGCTTTTATAATGGCTTTCATTTTTCATGCTTTGGTTGTGCATCATTTGTAATCCTCCTGTCGAGCTATTTGTTATAAACAAGCAGTTATAGAATATTAAAAGCATTTATGTAGATTAGGCCCTGATTTTCAACTCCTTTGTATTGCTTATGAAGTCTTTTTTTCCCTTGAAGTGTAAATCATTGAGTAACTCATACCAATAGAAATACAAATCAGTTTATCTTCACTGACAATTATTGTAATTTGCATTTTTGCTTTGCCTTCTCTGAATCTCCGCAGCTGCAGTCAGTGTTGCGTGTGAATGTGAGCCAGGTGCAGATAGATGAGTGTGTGCGCACGGACTGCAGGACGTCCGGCGGCTGCTCCACACAGTTAAGCATCAGTGACTCGCCCACCCTGGTGGACTCGGGGGCTCTCTCCCTGGTCTCAGTGAAGGTGACTTCCTCCGCCGTGTGTGGCTGCGTTGCCAGGGAAATGACCCACCAACCCTGCGCCTCCTACCCCAGCAAGCCCTGCCTTAACGGGGGAACCTGCATCGACACCCAGAGTGGATACAGGTGAGAGGCACGTCTGCAGTTCTTCAGGAGGACTAAGGGGGTTTAGGAGGATATAACTTTAAATGGGATGTGCTGCAGTCTTCTCTCTAGCCCTGTGAGACTTACTGCAAGAGTGGCATCCTGGAAAATGAGCCCAGCATTACTAAGAAGGTGTCTCTCGTGAGAAAAATCTCCTTCACCTGCATCTTGACCTAACTTGCTTGAGCTGCTCTGCCGTGTTGTCAGCTGAATAGAGAGTAGCAAGTTTTTTCAAGAGACGTAGGGCTATTTGCAAAAGGAAAAATGCGCATGAATGTGCATATCATTCCGAACTAGGACCTAAATTAGGCCTTTAGATTTATAGTCGGATATCTGAAACTCTGGTGCACTGTGTGCTGCAGAACTTGGAGATAAATAAGAAAGGGAACTTTTGTATCAAGGTCATAAGCTAGTAGTTTGAATATTCGCCCTAAATATTTATGTTATTACTGAGAGTGTAAGGGTCTCTGTGGAAGTAATTCAGTAGGCAACAGCGCGCAGTTCATTTCATGCACACACTAATGCTCAGATTAAATAAATATAGGGCAAGAGGATTAGCACAACTCTGGCCCCCCTCTATGCTCACAACTTCTCAAAATCTCATTTAATGCCATTAACATGAATATGCAAGTTCATATAACAGTCTACAGAGCTTTTTTTTCTACTCTTATCTTTTAAATTTCCTCCACAGCGGTTGATCTGCTCCCTGCTGAGAGAAGCCCTTGTTCCGTAACAAGGCTATCTCCCCGTATGTGCTATATGTGCCCTCATGTGAATGCGGCAGAACTATAAAGAATCCAATGTTTGATTCTATACTCTGTCGAAGGAGCTTAACAGGCAACTACAGAAGGCAGCTGATCAGATATTGTCAGTCAGAAGTGGTAAAAACATGCTCCGCACTTCTTGATTTGGATCGGCAATGCTCCCATGAGTCACATGAACGAGTGAGGTGCCGTGCACAGCGTGTGCATATGTATGCATACCGCTACGCTCCGCCTAATCCGTCCTTTTTTGCTGCGTATAGATCAGTATTCCTGACATGTGTTGCCCCTCTGCAGAATAAACAGAGATGGGGAGAAACAGCCCCTAACGGTCTCAGCACACACAGCCTCCCTCAGACACTGCGTGGAAATAGATGGCTTTGACATTATCAGCAAAGCCAGCTTGTCTCACATTGAGAGGATGAGATCAAGCGGGCCCTAGCATCGCAGTGATGGAATGGACTGTTTTTAATCACTGCTGGGATCTCTCCCTTTATCGTTCTTTGTGTACGATTATTAATATTAACCATCACGGTCTCCTACTCCTACATGTTGAAGATAGGCATGGAAAACATTTAATTTCCAGTGCCTGTAAGAGCGGTGATCCCCAGCACTCAAGCTCTAATCAAAGTAGATGACTACAAGAAGAGGCAATTGCACAGATATCAACCAAAGTGTGTAATACCTTAAGAATGAGAAGAGGGCAGGTGGGGATAAGTGAGAAAAAGTCCACGAAATCAGCGATAGTATGGTGCTTATAAAAGCGAGAGACATATAATTAATTATCTCCGAACAAAAGAGATGAGATGTGCTGAGCAGCAGCCGTCTCCAGAGGGTTCAGCCCGGGTGACAGATAAAGAACATGCCGGAGAAATTAAGTGATTTAATGTAGGATTGAATATTCAGGGTTTGTTGCTTATTCTA